TTGGCCAAAATAATAGGTGAATTCAGGTATGTAGTGTTTTTTTACATTGACTTAAGAATTCCACTCAACTATGTTTTCTAGTCTGGGCACCTGTTTTCTACAAAAGAACATATACATGTTAATTTCCTTTCATTTATAATCACTGAATCGAACCCGTACAGGAATAATATCCAGATCACCTAAGCTGTGGTGTTCTGAATATTCTTAGTTATACCCTAATTTCACTAATTGCCCAAGATTTTCTGGGATAAACTCACTGTCACTTGAATTAATTGGCTACTTTTGAAGATAAAGTTGAAGGAACTCTGAATGAGTCTCCTTTGGGGGGTTACTTTATAGACGTTAGTTAGCAATTAGCAACGGAGGCCATGCTGATCCTTCTGGCACCACTGGGAGAGCACAACCTGCAGGAGTGGAATTGTTTCACTTGCTTGAGGCAAGCACTCAGTTCTGTGTCTCACACGCAGATGCGTGAGAAATACCCACTTCAGGCCCGGGCAGCTGGCAGTGCTACGGGAGTGCCTTCTTCTGAGGGCCCGTTCAGCCTCAGACCAGGCTTTGACTGTCCCACCTTTAATTTATTTCAGGGCTTTATTCATTACTTTTAAGCTTCAACCTGCAGGTCTGCTTCTGTTTATGCATATGCTAAAGGCAGGCCATTGCCAAAGGCCTGAGGCTGCTCGCTGAGCTGGACCTGGACAGAAGCATCTGTGACTTCTCCATGTTTTAATTTGTGTTTCCCTCATGACATATGATGTGCAGCATCTTTTCATGTGCTTATTTGCTGTCTATGTACTTTATTGAGGTGTCTGTTTAAGGTCTTTGGCCATTTTTAAATTGGTTGTTTCTTGCTGGGTTTTAAGAATATTGAGTTTGTTTTAAATAAATTGGAATTTATTAACTTGTTTATTCCTGCCCCTGCTAATATCTTGCTATCCTAATTTACCACATATGTAGGACCTATTAGTTGCAAGTCATTGTGACCCTCTGGAACTCACAGGAATAAGATATGATTTTTGCCTTTTAAAAAATATTTTTATTGATTTCAGAGAGGAAGGGAGAGGGAGAGAGAGATAGAAACATCAATGATGAGAATCACGGATTGGCCACCTCCTGCATGCCCCCTACTGGGGATCAAGCCTGCAACCCGGGCACATGCCCTTGACTAGAATCAAACCTGGGACCCTTCAGTTCACAGGCCGATGCTCTATCCACTGAGCCAAACCAACTAGAGCTGATTTTTGCCTTTTAGAAAATCAGTATAGTGGGGAAGACAGGCAAGCACAAGTAATGAGTTTTTAAAAATTATATTTAGCATTATTAACACAAAGGTGAAAGGGGTGATCTTAGAGATGAAATTAAATATGAAAGGGTGGATCTACCCAGAGCTCATTGGGGAATCTAGTCTGTGAATGGTGGGCTTGGAGATGGAGGTGAAAGGAGAGACAGCAGAAATAAAAGAATGAAAGTGCTAGGCAGTGGCTAACTCATGAAGGAAGTTAAGTGGTTTGAGGAGACAATGCTGTAAAGTAGTCTGGGACTTCCCGATTGTGGAGAGCCTTGCTTGCCTGTGGCTGAAGGTGTTAACTATGATGTGCAGCAGGGAGTCGGTTTGAGAAGGGGAGTGACATGATTCATGTGCTTCGTCAAGAAACCAGTATTTACCTGTGACAGCCAGCACAGTGTTCTGGCTGTGCCTATCTAGGTCTTGAGGAGGAGTTGAAACTTTGTAAGTTACCTTCTAGAGCAGCAGTTCTCAATCTTCCTAATGCCGCGACCCTTTAATACAATTCCTCATGTTGTGGTGACCCCCAACCATGAAATTATTTTCGTAGCTACTTCATAACTGTAATGTTGCTACTGTTATGAATCGCCATGTAAATATCTGATATGCAGGATGTGCTTTCATGGTTACAAATTGAACATAATTAAAGCATAGTGATTAATCACAAAAACAATATGTAATTATATATGTGTTTTCCAATAGTCTTAGGCGACCCCTGTGAAAGGGTCGTTCGACCCCCAAAGGGATCTAGACCCACAGGTTGAGAACCGCTGTTCTAGAGGTTGCCAATGCTGGCACGTCATAAAAGCGTTTTCTTTTGGAACTTAATGTTGTTTCACTGTCATATTGCTTACATTGTTTAATAAGTCTCCTGTCATTGTTATCTTTGTTTCTTTGTGTGAGGTGCTACTTTTAAGATCTTCTCTTTGTATTTTGGTGGAGTTTTTTCATGTTCCTTGTGCTTCTGAGGTTTACTGACCTTTTTGGATTTGTGGGATTATAGTTGTCATCAAATTAGGGGAAAACTTGGCCATTTGTTTTTCAAATATTTCTGTTGTCTCCTTTTGGAGATCTCTGTTACAAATATCAGGGCACTCAAGGTTGTGCCTTAGCTCTGTCCTTTCCCTCCTGGCCCAGCCTTCTTTCTCTGCTTCATTTTAGACAGTTATTTACTGTGGGTGTTTACATTTACTGCTGCTTCCTATGTCTAATCTATTAATACCATTCAATGAATTTGTCATCTTTAGAAATTTGATTTAGTCTTATATCTTCCAGATCCCTCCTTAACATGCTCATACTTCCTCTATCATCTTGGACTAAAGGCTAGAATAACTGATTTAATTTCCTCATCAACTCATTCTAACTTCTGTCATTTTTAGATCTGTTTCTGTTAGTTGTTTTTCCCTGCTTACTATGAGTCCTTTTCCTGCCGCTTTGCTTGCCTGATGATATATATCTATATATATTTTAAATGTATTTTTATTGATTTCAGAGAGGAAGGGAGAGGGAGAGAGAGACAGAAACATCAATGATGAGAGAATCATTGACCGGCTGCCTCCTGCACGCCCCCTACTGGGGATCGAGCCTGCAACCCGGGCATGTGCCCTGACTGGAATTGAACCTGGGACCCTTCAGTCCTCAGGCTGACGCTCTATCCACTAAGCCAAGCCAGCTAGGGCGCCTGTTGATATTTTTTATAACTTTTTTGTTGTTGTTTAGTTGATTTTAGAGAGAGAAAAAGAGAGGGAGAGGGAGAGAAACATCAATTTATAGTTCCTCCACTTATTCATGCCTTCATTGGTTGATTCTTGTATGTGCCCTGACTGGGAATGGTACCCCAAAACTTGGCATATCAGGACGATGCTCTAATCAACAAAGCTACCAGGCCAGGTGTCTGATGATTTTAGGTTGGATGGCAAACATTGTAAATTTTGCTTTCTTAAATACTGAATATTTTTGCATTCCTTTATATAGTCTTGAGCTTAGTTCCAAATAAGTTAGTTGGAAAGTCTTTGATTCTTTTGAGGCTTGCTTTATTGAGCCTTTCTAAACAAGGGCTAATTTTTCTCCCTATTATTGAAGAAATCAATGCCTTTCTGAGTACTCTACTGTGTGCCCCATGTATTATGAGGTTTTTCCACTATGGAGCTATTCCTGGCCCTGTGTAAGCTCTAGGGGTTGTTTCTCCTTTAGTTTTCCAATGATTCATTCCTTGGCCTCTGGTAGTTTCCTTACATGCTTACGTTGATCATGTGAAGATTCAGGGGAAACCATTGCGGAATTCTGGAGTTCTTTGTATGGCCAATTGTACTGCAGTACTCTGCCTGAGAATTCTAGCTACCTTGGCTTCCTGGCAGTCTCAACTCTCTCTTCTCAACTTAGAGAGACCCTTGGGCTGTATTTGGGTTCCCCACTGTGCTCTGTGTCCTGGACATTCTATACACAGCCCTAGAGGTCATCTGGTTTGTTTTACTTCCCTAAGGGCCCACTATCCTGTGCTACCTTTTGTCCATTGTCTGAAATCCTTGTTTTCATATACTCTGTCCTGTTTTTTAAAGTGGGAGGGTATATCTGCAGTGGAAATTACAATTTAAAAATATACTGTGACTCAGCCAGTACTTCCACATCATAATCTTTGTTTTATATTAAAAACAATAATACAGTAACAGACAACACATCCAGCCTCAGAAAGAAAACATTTTCAAATAATTGATCATTGTTCATTATTCATTCAGACGAACTTTGGAATCACCTTGTGAAAGTCTTAAAAATTATGTTGGGATGACCCTGATTGAATTGCAATGATCATAAAACTTTTTTGCTAAATGCCCATGAACACTCCACTGAATACATTTTGAGGAGAACTACCACATGGAATTCTGAAGGTTTTAGCTCTGGATAAATGACTTTGGTTTTAAGTTTATTTTCTTTTATTTCATTTTATTTGTTAATCCTCACCCGAGGATATTTTTCCATTGATTTTTAGAGAGTGGAAGGGAGGGGAGAGACAGAGAGAGAGAAACATCAGTGTAAGAGAGGTACATCGATTGGTTGCCTCCACCATGTGCCCCAATCAGGGCTGGGGATCCAGCTGCAACCGAGGTATGTGCCCTTTACCAGAATCAAACCTGGGACCCTTCAGACCACAGGCCCATGCTCTGTCCACTGAGCCAAACCAGCTAGGGCTGGTTTTAAGTTTAATAGGAAAATATATTAACTTCATTTTACCATTACACTCACTTTATCAAGACTATAGAAGGCTATCAGCGGAGGAAACATAATACCAATGATCGTGGCCTTTCCTAAAGTTTTCCTCTGTACTAAGATACTTAGGAGAGAGGAATGTGATCAATCTGTGTAAATTATACTGCTTTCAGCAACTAAGGCTTAGGATCCTCCTATAAATATGAGATGTTGCACTTGAGGCTAATGGTCACTATTTTCCATTTACTATGTTATAGTAATTATAACCTAATTAATTTATATTCAACTAGAGGCCTGGTGCACGAAATTCGTGCACTGAGGGGGGGGCGTCTCTCAGCCCAGCCTGCCCCCTCTCACAGACTGGGAGCCCTCAGGAGATGTCCTACTGATGGCTTAGGCCTGTGGGGAGCGGGCCTAAGCCACAGTCTGGCCTCCCTCTGCGGGAGGTGACTGGGCTGATTAGGGGGAAGCACTAGCCCCATCACCCCGCTGCTGCTGCCACTGCCGGCCGCCGCAGCCACCAAGGTATTCATCAACACGGACTCCACTCCCTTCACCACAAAAAATGACAACTTTCTTTAGGCATTTTCAAGATGTCTCTTTCATAGGATATGACATTTCTTTCTTTCTTTTTTTTTTTTTTTTTAATTCTCACCTGAGGATATGTTTCCATTGATTTTTAGAGAGAGGGAAAGACAGAGAGAAACATCAATGTGAGAGGGACACTTCGATTGGCTGCCTCCTGCATGAGCCCTGACCTGGGCCCCGGCCAGGGAGGAGCCTGCAACCTAGGTACATGCCCTTGATCAGAATCGAATCTGGACCCTGCGGTCGGCAGGCCGAGGCTCTATCCACTGGGCAAAACCAGCTAGGGCAGGATATGACATTTCTTAGCCCCTCCAGCAGCGGACCTCAGTTTTTTCCTCCAGGAGTGTGGTGGAAAAACCCTAGATCACCTTGGATTTTCATAACCCAAGTTACCAAGAACACTGCAAGTGGCGGCATACAGGGAGCTTAGCCAGTGAGCGGTCAGAAAAGGTGTTTCCTCTGCAGCTCACGCACAGAGGCCCCCCTGCGTTGTGTCCGCTGGGCTGTGGCATGCTTCCTGCCCAGATGCCCTCTCTCCCTCTGCGGTGCGGGACACTATGGGCGCCGCCATCTTTGCGATGGAGTGATGGTTAATTTGCATATTATCCTTTTATTAGATTAGATTATACTTTAGGATTTGTTTTGGATAATAAAAAGACTTCCACTCTTTTGTTGTTGTTAATCCTCACCCGAGGATATTTTCCCATTGATTTTTAGAGAGGGGGAGGTGAGAAAGAAACATTGATTGGTTGACTCCTGCACAGGCCCCAATCAGAGATCAACCTGCAATCTAGGTATGTGCCCTGACAGAGTCAAACCAGAAGCACGGGATGATGCTCCAACCAACTGAGCCACCTGGCCAGGGCTCTTTAATTTTTAAAGTTTCTTCCTCACCAGCAAGCTAAATCTTTGGTTTCTTTAAGCATATTAAACATACTTGTGTTCTGATTATTTCACTATCTGAAGTCTTTGCAGACTTATTTTGCCAGATGTTGATCATATCATTATTCTGTTTTGTTATTTTGATTGTGAGCCCCTTTTTGTTGGAACTTTGAGAACTCTGAAGATTCCAGAGAAAATGTGGTGGTTTCTGGAGGTTGCTTGGAACATTACCAACCTGAGAACACTTTGTAAGAAATTCTTCACCTGAGTACTTCCTTACAGCATGGTTTGAATTCTGGCCACTGATTTGTGTGAAGGGAAATTTTCTGAGTAGAGACTTGTTGCCAAGGTCAAAATAGGCAACTTTATTTCTCCTTGTCCTGCACAATGAATGTTTCTCTCGCTAATCTTTATGCTGATGATAGAGTCCTGTGGAGTGTAATGTAGAGTGGTGGGGTGGGGAGGCTCTTCTTGGCTTATTGGCTCTGGCTCCGTTGGCCCAAAGCTTTATCTTCTTCCTCTCTGGACCTCAGAGTGCTGAAAGCAACATCAGGATCACCAGGACGGGTCAGCCTCACAGCCAAGCAGCTTACTTGCCTTACAGAATACCTACTGTCTCTTCCCTTTTGGCTTTGCCAACGCAGTAATCATCGGAAAAGATACTTTTACATTTTAACCATTATATCTGGTTGTTCACAATGGAAGGGCCATTCAGGGAATCTAGTCTTCTATGTATATGGTAATGAAACATAATTTTAGATTTTTTTCTATCTAGTTAAAGATGTGCCAAACTCAGTTTCTTAAGTTACTGTGGATTTGGACTTTTTTTTTTCCTCTTGGACTTTCCCCCCTTTTATCATAGCAGTAATTTTTCTAAAATGTATATTAGTATTTTTTTGTGTGTGAAGTATTCTTTGAGAGTCAGGCAATAAGATTAATTGCATTGAACCAGTTTTCAAAGAATCTAGGGACTCATATATGTCCTTGGGACATCTGGCTTAATGAATCTTTATTCTGCTAAGTCTGTTTGGGAAATATTTTCTTAGGAGAGAATACCTCAGATCCAGAAGCACATTAATATGTATTTTTTATAATCATACTTCAGTTTTAGGTTTTTTATTTTTGATGGCTTTTCTTATTCTCCTGGTTAGAGATAAACAAGTGTATTATGATAGAAATATCATGGAAATATCTTTTTGAAACATTTACAGTGAAAGTATGCAAGACTTAACAGCACAAGTGACGAGCGGTCTTCTGCAGTTCCCAGAAGTGACTATTGAAGCCCTGGGAGAAGATGAAATCACATTAGAATCTGTACTTCGTGGAAAGTTTGCTGCAGGTAATGTTGCTGAAAATTTGCAAATTTGATTGATTTGTAAGATAAGTAATAAGTATCTATTGCAATTTCTTTAATGTGGATGAGAAAAAAAGCATATCCTGGTTAGAGTGGTCTTAAGTAAATACATAACATCTGTGACTACACATATAGTAGTATCTACATACTCTGGAACACATTTTCAGTGACTCGGGAGGGAGTGTAGTTTATTTTTCTTCATTAAAAATACCGCATATTTAATATCTTTTAGTATTGAGTATCTACAAACTAATACTGGTTTTTCTTTATAATTAGTAAGTTTTTTTGGTGAGCTTGGATTAGAACCTAAACAGTCTTATGAATAAAGCAATTCTGAATTTTAGGGCCCTGTGGGAGACAAAATATTAATTTTGTAATTCCATTAATCTGAACAAGATCTCAATATATATGGTTTGGATTATATAATACAGAAAATCACACCCAAAAAGCCATTATATTATGAATTTCAGCTTAGTGAAAGACACTGCAGAATACATTTTAAAAATGATTTTATTGATTTTAGAGACAGGAAGGGAGAGAGAGAAACATCTATTGGCTGCCTCCTGCCGGGAATCAAACCTACAACCTGAGTGTGTGCCCTGACCGGGAATGGAACCGGTGACTTTTCAGTGCATGGGACAGCGCTCAGCCAGCTGAGCCGCATTGGCCAGGGCTGCAGAAGACTTTTCTGAAAGGGAATATCTTAGCCCTCCTTCCTAGGAGAAAGAGAAGCGAAACATTTGTATTGGTCATTTAGCTATTTACAGTGCTATTCTCTTGAACAGTACTTACTGTAACAACTTTTCACTGAGGTAAATAGTAGACTTTTCTAAGTAATTACTATTGTGTGTAGCTGAGAATCAAATAAGAAGTGACCTGTTCTAAGTTATTAGATAGCAGGTGGTAAATATGAGCTTTGAACCCATGCCTTCTATGTCCCCACTGTGCCATACTACTTCCTTAAACTATTTAGCCTCCCCTCAGCTATAATCTAGTATATCCAACTATCTATCTACTTAGATGCATGAGAGACATCAAAAATTTAGTAATAAAAGTTACTACCGTCCATCTAGCAGCTCAAGGAAAAATTCAGGGTCTGTTTTTTATTCTTCTGTTTTACTTACCTCCCATATCTTATTCATCAGCAAGCATGTCCTTTTAGTACTGACTCTAAGATGAATCTTCAGTCAATCAACTTTTCCCAATTATTGATCACCAACCAAGCATAGGTATCATTTCCCCACTTCTTTATGCTTCCCCCTTACTGTCCATTCTCTGCTTAACAGCTAGAGTAATATTTGTTTCATTTTATTTACTTTTAAATATATTTTTATTGATTTCAGAGAAGAAGGGAGAGGGGGAGTTTGATAGAAACATCAATGATGAGAGAGAATCATTGATCGGCTGCCTCCTGCACATCCCCTACTGGGGATCCAGCCCGTAACCCAGGCATGTGTTTTGACTGGGAATCGAACCTTGACCTCCTGGTTCATAGGTCAATGCTCATCCATTGCACCATGCCAGCACATTTAAAAACAGAAATCAGATTGTCACTGTCCTGCTTAATACCCTCTAGTTACTTTAAATTGCATGAAGAGTAAAATCCACACATGACTAGAAGGGCTTCTGATAGATACTTCCTTTTGTTATGCTACTTAGGTCTTGTCTTCTCAGTTAGATTTTGAATTCTTCTGGAATAGAGTCACATGTTATATTTTAGAACACCTAGTTTAACTCTTAAGGTATAATGTAGTTAAAATATGAGCTTTGGACTTAAATGGGATCTACTTCTGCTCTGGTATTTAGCTGTTCGTCTTTGGGCAAATTATTTCACTGTATGAAAGTTTAGTTGCCTTTTCTCTGTATTGAGGTTCAACAAGGAGTCAATGAGATAATGCATTTAATTGCATAGCATGGTGCCTTTACTGGTTATTTATTATTATTATACTAGAAGCCCAGTGCATGAAATTGGTGCATGGGTAGGGTCCCTAGGCTTGGCTGGCAATCAGGGCCAATTGGGGCCTTCTGGCTGCTGAGCGGGGCCTCCCTTCCCCGGCTACTGGCTGCCGGCTGGGGCCTTCCTTCGTTCTGCGCCGCCCCCTGGTGGTCAGTGCACTTCATGGCAAGCGATCGGTCTCCCAGTTGAACTCCTGTGGGGACAATTTGCATATTAGGCTTTTCTATATATGTAGATTATGTATGTAAAAGTTTTTAATTTTGTTATACACATACAATGTTAAAATAAGCAACATGTTTGCTTTTTTTCTTCCAGGGAAAAATGGACTTGCTTACTTGACTTGTGGCCCACAGCTTGAGGTAGTGCACTCTCTAACAGGAGAGCGGTTGTCTGCGTATAGGTTCAGTGGCCTGAGTGACGAGTCACCTATCATCCTCGCTGTGAAAGAGTTCTCTTGGCAGAAGAGAAGCGGATTGTTGATTGGACTGGAAGATGCAGAAGGGAGTGTCCTCTGTCTCTATGACCTGGGCATATCCCGAGTGGTTAAAGCAGTCGTTCTTCCTGGAAGGGTAGGTACAGTGTAAGATTCGTGGACATCTTGTTTCAAAACTGAGCCCCTGCTGATTACAGTGACAACGGTGCGTTTACTCAGTGTACTTCTAATTGGTTCACTTTTATGGAAGTATGCTAGTTTTCATTTAAGAGTTCAAAAAAAGTTTATAAAAATATTTATTACTTCGGCTTTTTTTTCCTGGGTTGTTTGAGACTACAGTTGACCCTTGAACAATGCAGGGGTTAGGGGCACTGATCCCTCCCCCCCTCGGCACAGGTGAAAATCTGTGCATAACTTTTTAAAAAATATATATTTTATTGATTTTTCATAGAGAGGAAGGGAGAGGGATAGAGAGTTAGAAACATCGATGAGAGAGAAACATCGACCAGCTGCCTCCTGCACACCCCCAACTGGGGATGTGCCTGCAACCAAGGTACATGCCTTTGACCGGAATCGAACCTGGGACCCTTCAGCCTGCAGGCCGACGCTTCATCCACTGAGCCAAACCGGCTAGGGCTGTGCATAACTGTTGACTCCCCAAAACTTAATAGCCTACCGTTGACTAGAAGCCTTACTGATACAATTAACACCTACTTTGTATATTACATGTATTATATACTGTATTCTTACAATAGTGTAAGCTAGAGAAAAAAAAGAAAGTCATAAGAAAGAGAAAATACATTTATAGTACTGTATATACTATGAAAAAAATATACACGTGTAAATGGATCTGTGTGGTTCAAACCTGTGTTCAAGAGTCAACTACATAGTCTTGGAGCAATATGGAAAACATGTCTTTGTTATTATTTAAGATTTGAGGAATGTATTTAAATAGTGGACTCATTTATAGTCACCATTTCTTAAATGTAGTGTCTATATGCCCTCCATATGCCAGACATTTTTCCCAGTACTAATTATAGAAGTACTTCGAATTTGGTTTGTTCAGCAGGTTTCATACATGATGAAAACCTGTATACACTTAACAAATGCACACATACATCCACAAATACAAAGTTATGGAAGAATAGAATTCTTCCTATACCTGGTGTGAAAAAAGTATACACTGAGATATACATAAAAATGTGTGTATGTGTATGTAATGTATATAGTCATAGAATAGTTTTTAAAGTTAAAAGGGAACTTAATGACAAAACATGTTTTTACAGTTGAGAAAACTGACCTTGTAGGCCAGTGATGGCGAACCTATGACATGCGTGTCAGAGGTGACACGCGAACTCATTTTTTTGGTTGATTTTTCTTTGTTAAATGGCATTTAAATATATAAAATAAATATCAAAAATATAAGTCTTTGTTTTACTATGGTTGCAAATATCAAAAAATTTTTATATGTGACACAGCACCAGAGTTAGGTTAGGGTTTTTCAAAATGCTGACACGCCGAGCTCAAAAGGTTCACCATCACTGTTGTAGGCCAGTGTGCAGGGTCTGCAGTGATTGATGATGTTACATATGTACTTGCCAGTGATGATGATTCTAAGGCAGAATTAACTTAGCAAAACATATATTGAGTGCTTACTATAAATCAAGCTATTTGCTAGATTTTGAGGACAAATAGATGAATTGAACTTGGTTCGTGCTGTCTGAAATCTTGTAGTCTAGTAGAAGGCTGATAAGATTACAGCATAAATATAATAAGCACTTTCATAAATTCAACCATTTAGAACATGGAGAACACCTGAATAATTTCTACTCAAAAAGGTTGGACATTTCAGGCAAAGGGACCAGAATGTAAAAAGTCACAGTATATGGAACATTTTGGGGAAAAGGCTTATTTAGAACTAAAGACCGGTGCATGAAATTCGTGCACAGGTAGGGTCAAAGGGTTATCGTGAACATTAAATGAACCAATTAGCACATCAGTTATTTCAGCTGCATGATTTTTTATATATTGAAATAATGGTATAATCCCTATTATATTGAAAGATTTAATTATGTTATTCATATTCACAAGTATCAGATGCAGATTTTTTATTTTGTTTGAAAATGTCTGTTAAACCTAGTAACCTGCCTTAACCTCAAAAGTTATTATGTTTTAATTGCATTTTCTCACCTTGTATAAGAAAAGCAAATCATATATATTCTCCTTTCTAGGTAATAGCTATTGAACCTATAATTAATCATGGAGGAGCCAGTGCAAGCACTCAGCATTTGCACCCAAGTTTGCGGTGGCTTTTTGGGGTGGCAGCTGTGGCAACTAATGTTGGACAGATCCTTCTCATTGACCTATGTCTTGATGACTTATCATGCAGTCAGAATGAAGTGGAGGCATCAGGTAATTTCTTTGCTTGAAACCAAAAATTGAGCACCAGAATATTTTGATATAAGGGATTGAGTTTTTCAAAGTAAAAAAAATTTTTATAAAGACTTCTTTTTGTATCTTTGTTTCTTTCATTGTTTGGACCTATTGTTTTAATGTTTTGGGCCCTGTTGATAGCTTTTGCATTTTAGTCTATTTTGTTGATGAACTGTCCATATACTAAAGTAGATATTGAAAGAGAAGGCCCAGCCCATGTGGTTCAGTGATTGAGCCTCTACCTGTGAACCAGGACGTCGCTGTTCGATTCCAAGGGCACATGCCCGGGTGTGGGCTCCATCCCCAGTGGGGGGTGTGGAGGAGGCAGCCGATCATTGAGTCTCTCTCATCATTGATGTTTCCATCTTTCTCTCTCCCTTCCTCTCTGAAATCAATAAAAATATATATTTTTTAAAAAGTGAAAGAGATAGGGATATTGATTTATTTTCAGATATATACTTGAATAATATCAAGTAAATGTCAGACAAGAACTAAAGGTATAAAATGATGAACTTTATCAAGATTTTATTTTTATCCATATAGGATCTAACAGTGTTTTGGCATGCTGTTTATGTTCCTATGGTAAGACAAGACACAAATATTTCACTAGGAAATAACAGTGATTGAAAGTTATACTTTACAAAATAACATCCCAGAATAGAACTAATGCTACTCAAATAAAAATAAAAAAGTGAAGAGAGGCAGTTTTTTCTATTTAATATTAATGCTTATATTAATAAATTTACACTTTATCCATTGTTTTTAGGTTTTTGGTATTTATTTCATTTTTTAAATTTATGGGACTCTTGATTGGTTTATGTAGGGAGGGGAAGTAACTTAAAAACTTTTTTAAAATGTGTGGCCCTGCCTTTACTGGTGTGTTCAATGGTTAGAGCTTTGGCCTGCACACCAGAGGGTAGTGGGTTCGATTTCCAGTCAAGGGCACATACCTGGGTTCGATCTCTGGCCTTGGTTGGGCATGTTCAGGAGGCAACCAATGTGTTTCTCTCACACTGATATATCTCTCTCTCTCTCTCTTTCTCCTTCTCTCCCTCCCTCCCGCCCTCCCTTCCTTTCTTCCTCCCTTCCTCTCCCCCCTTTCCCTCCCTCTCCCTCTCTCTCCCTCTGCCTTCCTGCCTCCCTTTTACCCTCTAGAACAGTGATGGCGAACCTTTTGAGCTCGGCGTGTCAGCATTTTGAAAAACCCTAACCTAACTCTGGTGCCGTGTCACATATAGAAATTTTCGTTCTAACCAATTGAGCCACCTGGCCATACCACACGTGTTTGTTTTTTTGTGTTATTTTTGTTATTGTTAATCCTCAACCTACGATATTTTTCCACTGACTTCTGGAGCAGTGGTTCTCAACGTTGGCTGCACATTAGAATCACCTGGGAATCTTTTTAAAATCCTGATTTCTGGGCCTCATCCTCTGGAAATTCTGTTTCTTTGTTATGGGGTGGGGCCACAACATTAGTAACAAACAGAATTTCCAGAGGGTGAGGCCCAGAAATCAGGATTTTAAAAAGATTCCCAGGTGATTCTAATGTGCAGCCAACGTTGAGAACCACTGCTCCAGAAGTCAGTGGAAAAATATCGTAGGTTGAGGATTAACAATAACAAAAATAACACAAAAAAACAAACACGTGTGGTATGGCCAGGTGGCTCAATTGGTTAGAACGTTAGCCTGTACACTACACCAAAAGGTTGCTGGTTCGATTCCTGTCCTGGTCAGGGCATATACATAGATTGGGGTTCCATCCCTGTCGGGTGCATACTGGAAGCAACCTATCGATGTTTCTCACAAAAGGACCATTTGACCTTTGAGGACCTTGAATTTTATTTTTTATTGATTTCAGAGATAGAGATAGAAACATTAGTGATCAAAGAGAATCACTGATTGGCTGCCTCCTGCATGCCCCCTACTGGGGATTGAGCCTGCAACCTGCACATGTGTCCAGACTAGGAATCAACCGTGTGTGACCTCCTGGTTCATAGGTCGACACTCATCCACTGAGCCACGACAGCTGGGCACCTTCTTGATTTTTAAAGTATCCTGTAATATTGCAGATCTGTTCTTTTTTTAAAATATATTTTTATTGATTTCAGAAAGGGAGAGAGGTAGAAACATCAATAAAGAGAGAGAATCATTGATCGGCTGCCTCCTGCAGGCTCCCTACTGGGGATGGAGCCCGCAACCTGGGCGTATGCCCTCTTCTAGAATTGAACTGGGACCCTTAAGACCTCAGGCCGACATTCTGTCCACTGAGCCAAACTGGCTAGGGCCAGATCTCTTCTTTTATGGACAGCTAAGAAGTAGAAATAGATAACAAACTGTTTTATCACTATTTTATCTCAGTTTATTAGCATAACTAATAAAAATTGTCAGTATATAATAAAACTGCAAGCGGCAAAAATTTGACCAGAAATTGACTGAGGAACTTATTAACCATTTAAACTAAATTTAAATCTGCAAAATAAGTTTAAATGAAAAGAATTGATTAGTAAAAAAACAGTAAGTAAAAATGAGTTTGTAGAATATTAGAAATGGTTTAACTGCTCTTAGTAGAAAATTGATAAAGGAATTAAATAGTCTTGAAGTTTTGTTCTGGAGTGTGTTTTTTATATGATATAGCTGTAAGGCTAATTAAAATGCTTGTATCATAATTAAAACTTCAGATCAAAATAGAGTTAAAACATCTTTTTTTTTAAAAAATAGATTTTTTTAAATTAATTTCAGTGAGGAAGGTAGAGAGAGAGAGAGAGAGAGAGAGAGAGAGAGAGAGAGATACATCAGTGTTGAGAATCATTAATTGGCTACCTCTGACATGGTCCCCCAATAGGGATACAGCCAGCGACCCAGGCATATGCCCTGACTGGGAATTGAACTATTACCTCCTGGTTCATAGGTCAACACTCAACCACTGAGCCACGCCTGGTTGGGCAGAGTTAAAACATCTTTTATTTTAGAAAGCAACAATCAGTAGTTGAATTTAGTACAAGAATAATTTTATAATTGAACTGCATTGTGATCAGAGGTTAGAACCATATCTCAATTATGAGAATTATTAAGCCATTGAATTTTATAGCACACACACAAAAAATTGAGTGTTGGGGTTCAATGCAAAATTGATTTTTTTGTTTAAAAATGTAATTTGTGGTTACAACTATTTAGACTTTATTGAAATACACATAAAGAAAATGAAGTTCCTAACATTTATCATACCATAGATACTATTCTGCAATTCTTCCAAACCTAACGGTATTTCTTACATATTCTGTCACATCAGTACATGTAGAGTCTACCTTATTTTCTTGAATAAGTTTACAGTATTTTATTATATGAAATATTATATTTTGGCAACATTTAATCACTATTCTCTGAAAAAATAATCAGAAAGAGTAGGGATCAAGAGGGTAACTTCAAGAACAGTGGGGTATGATTTTTTTTTTTTAATATGGAACGCTTCACAAATTTGCGTGTCATTCTTGCGCAGGGCCATGCTAATCTCGGTATTGTTCCAATTTTAGTATATGTGTTGCTGAAGCAAGCACAGTGGAATATGATTTTGTAACCCCTTCATAATAACATTGAGGGAATCTGCCCTTGCACAATAGTTATATCAGTATACAGGCCTGAATATTTTTGTTTCATTAAAGATTACCATCATCTTCAAGTAGGTAAAAGAATATAAGAATCCACACATACCCATCACCTAAATTCAAGTTAGTTTTCAAAATTTACTTTATATGCATCCATTTTCTTTCACTCTCCTTTCTCTCATTTCCTCTGCATTAATTCAAAGCAAATAATGGTTATTTTACTACATAATCATGTCATTACCACTCTTAACATATTAATTCTTTGGTATAGTTTAGTGATTTTCAACTGGTGTGCTGTAAGGATTTTTAAAACATGCAATACCTGGCTATTTAGTCAGGGACACTGACCTTTTTTCCCTTAGATTATCAAATAAAAAATGACAACAGCCAACAGGACAATAGCCATTCAGTGTGAAGGAATGAAATTATGCCTTTTATTTCCAGATCAGCAAAAAACATTTATGTGTGTTATGAGATGAAAAAGGTTGAAATTGCTGGTAAATAGTTGAATAATCAGATCTCTGAAGCACCTTTTTGCAATTAGATTGTTTGAATCAGGACACAGACAAGGTCCACACATTTCACTTGACATCTCTCATGTTTCCTTGAAGGTAGAGCAATCCTCTCTATCCAGTGACTTGCTGAAGAAGTTACCTGGTGTAATGCTCCACATTTGAAATTATCTGTGTGTTTCATGTGATATCATTTACACTTGATATTTTCTGAAATCTCAGCTCTCTCTGATTAGATTCAGACTTAACATTTGGCAAGGATACGTCATAAATGCTGGGTACTTCATACTGTATCACATCAGGAGGCACATGGCATCTTTTTTCACATTTAGTGATCAGGTCAGATGATGACCGTATGATCCTTCCTCTTCCTATCTACCCCAGTAGTCTTCCATTTCTGCTTGAATAATGGGTGACACATTTGTTTTTATGCTGTTGATAGTTCGTTTATCTCACTTTTTTTTTTTAGACCTTGAAGTTATAGCTGGTATTCCAGCCGAAGTACCACACCTCAGAGAACGTGCAATAGGAGAAGGACGCCATCTGTGTTTCCAATTAGTGAGCCCATCGGGAACAGCAGTTTCAACTCTTAGTTACATTAACAGGACCAATCATCTTGCTGTAGGTTTTTCTGATGGCTACCTAGCACTCTGGAATATGAAAAGCATGAAAAGAGAGTAAGGATAACTTCTGATTTGATTTTTGGCAGTTTATTTCTGAATATAACTTGTACCCTATTAATATGTAAAAATTAGCTTAAGGGGAAAATGGTAGGATAAATTAATGATTGAGTGACTGAATAATTTTTTATTGTATTAAATCATGATGATATAATAAAGAAATGACTTAGCACATGAATTTAGGCTGATTCTTTCAGTGTATATTTTAAAAGGCATTTCAGTTATTGTGTTAAATTTGCTAATAAAGCATGACTCTAAAGATATTTATATCGGATGAATTTTTTCATAAGTATCTTTTTTAATAACCATACTAGAGGCCTGGTGCACGAATTTGTGCACCAGTGGGGTCTGGCTGCCCCACCCCAATTGGGGCCCATTGAGCTGGGCTGGCCCAGGAGAGGGGACATGGGAGGTTTGCCAGCTGGGCCCGCCCCCCTGGTCAGACTTCCAGTCAAGGGGACAATATGCATATTAGCCTTTTATTATATAGGATGTATAAATATGTGTAAAGTAGTTGTTCCCAGTAGACAGAAAAGCAAAGGCTTTTTAAAAAATCAGTTCTAAAATGCTATGTTTTAAAATTGTTACACTGTGCAAAACTTTGTCCAAATATAATTATATTGATACTTTTATGGTGTTAAAATTGCCAAGGAATTAAACCTTTATTGAGGGAAGTACTCCTTTATTGAGGGAGGTAGCAAACATAGTGGAACTGATGCTTAAACCCATGCAGCTGAAGAAATGGAGTCTTGTGGCAGTATTTCATCTCTCTCGAGGGTACCTCTTATTGGGGAGCAGTACATAGTGGCATATATTTATATGTACTAGAAGGACTAGTTCACACATACATGTATTCTGTGCTTTATTAATTTTAACCCTTCCCAGTTCTACCTGGGGGGATGGATGCCATGCTCGTCTTTTTTTTTTTTCATGCTCATTGTCTTGATTTCTTGTCCCCTGTGGTTTTTTTTTTGTTAATCCCCCCCTGGGGATATTTTCCCATTGATTTTTTTTTTTTTTGAAGGAGTGGAAGGGAGGGAGAGAGGAGAGAGAGATAGACATCGATGTGAGAAAGACACATTGATTGATTGCCTCCTGCACCTGACCCAATGGGGTGGGGATCAAACCTGTAACCCAGGTATGTGCCCTTAAAGGGGAATCAAACCTGCAACCCTTTGGTGCACAGATTGATGCTCTAACCCCTGAGCACAACATTGGCCACTCCTGCACACCCACCACTGGGGATCAGGCCCACAACCTGGGCATGTGCCCCCAACCAGAATCAAACCTGGGACCCTTCAGTCTGCAGGCCAACGCTCTATCCACTGAGCCATACTGGCCAGGGCTCCTGTGTATTTTTGAAGATGGTTGTATGAACAGTAGTTGCTCTAACTCAAATTCTTATATTGAGGCACCTTCTTTAACATAGCTATAATTTAAAAGTATGAAGTATACTAATTTTTGTGCCTCTTACAGATACTACACACAATTGGAATGTGGAAGGGTTCCCGTATATGCTGTTACTTTTCAAGAACCTGAGAATGATCCTCGTAATTGCTGTTACTTGTGGGCTGTTCAGTCTACACAAGATAGGTAAGTGTGATACATGTGTTTTTAAAAAGTATTTGTCAAAAATGGAGCAGCATTTAATTTCTTTGGAAAGCTTTTACTTTGTACTGTGTTGTCTCTTTTTAGTGAAAGCAACATAATTCAGTGAATTAGTGATAGTTGAAATGATTAAAAAAGTTAAATGAGCCCTAGCTATTTTGGCTCAGTGGATAGAGCGTCAGCCTGCGGACCGAAGGGTCCCAGGTTCGATTCTGATCAAGGGCACATGCCCAGGTTGTGGGCTCGATCCCCAGTGTGGGGCATGCGGGAGGCAGCCAATCAATGATTCTCTTTCATCATTGATGTTTCTATCTCTCTCCCTCTCCCTTTCCCTCTGAAATAAATAAAAATATACTTTAAAAAAAAGTTAAATGATTATTTCTACAAGTTTAAGTAATTCTCATATATCAGAAGAAATTGTGCTTGCTTGATTTGTTTCAATGTTATTTCAAAGTGTAAGCCAATTCAGATGAGCAGGCAACCTAGTATTACTAGAGGCAATTTTTATGGCTTTCTGTGTTCTCTTGTAAGAACATCTTTTCTCTTTATAATCTCATTCCTTTTTCCTCTGTTTTGTATGCCTCTCGCATTTTTATTTATCCCTACTCTGTTTTCTAGTATATTTTTAGGATTGACTTTTCCCAGTCATAAGCTCTAATGTTCTAATGTGCAACTATGGACAGATCTTTCTTTTCAATTTAATTTCTAACTGGTTCATTTCCAGTGCTAGAACAGTATTCAGTACTGATTTTTAACATTTTTTCTTAGGTATTTAGTTCTTTCTTTGATGATCAGTGAAATTAAAGTTTGTGGTATAAATGCCATGATCTTGATAACTCACTGATCCCAGTACTTTCTCTTTCCAGGTCCTATTCTACCTTAGATTTTATGTACCTGCGTTGTGGACAATTTGGGTTTTTGTTTTCGATGTCCTCACGTTTGAGGTTTTGTCTTAACCTTACATTGTAGTAACAAGGCAATGAATGAAAAAATGATTTGCCATTTTTCAAATTTGTCAATCCTGGAGAAAATACAGAGATAACTATTGAGATGCCCCTCATTTGGACCAAATTCGTATTTCCATTCATCTGAGTGTAATGTGGGCCAAGAGCATTGAGAAATGGGCCTTGTGACGGCTTTGTGTGGTCAGGAATGAGAGGGCATTATGTTTATTTTTATCATTGACAGTATTACAGATGTCCCCCTTTCCTCCCCCTTTGCCCCTCTCCACTCAGCCTCTGCCCCACAGCAGGCCTTCCCACACTATTGTCTGTGTCCACGCGCTATGCATATGTGCATATATGTTCTTTGGCTAATCTCTTCCCGTCCCCTCCATACCCTTCCCCTCTGAGATATGTCATTCTGTTCCATGCGTCCATGCCTCTGGACCTGTTTTGTTCATTAGATTCTACATATAACTGAGAGCATGTATTTGTCTTTCTCTGACTGGCTTATTTCACTTTGCATAATACTCTCCAGGTCCATCCATGCTGACACAAAGGGTGAGAGTTCCTTCTTTTTTATAGCCACATCATATTCCATTGTGTAAATGTACCACAGCTTTTTTGTTCCACTCATCTATTGATGGGCACTTAGACTGTTTCCAGATCTTAGCTATTGTAAATAATGCTGCTATGAACATAGAGGTGCAAATATTCTTTCTGATTGGTGTTTCAGAATTCTTAGGATATATTCCTGGAAGTGGGATCGTTGGGTCAAACGGCAGTTCCTTTCTTTTTTAAAAAATATATGTTCAATGATTCAGAGAGGAAGGGAGATAGAGATAGAAACATCCACAATGAGAGAGAATCATTGATCAGCTAGCTTCTGCATGCCCTCTACTGGGGATTGAGCCCGCAACCCGGGCATGTGTCCTGAGCAGAACTCAAACTGTGACCTCCTGGTTCATAGGTTGATGTTCAACCACTAAGCCACACTGGTAGGCACAGTGACCTTAGTTTTATCATACGCACTCAATATTGTATTCAAACTGAACTGATTTGGACAGTGAGAGATGCTTAGTGTAATTAATATGATTGTTAGTATTTCTTAGGAGAAACACTAAAAAACATGCTCATCTCTCTTTCAGTGAAGGGGATGTTCTGAGTTTGCATCTGCTTCAGCTGGCCTTTGGGGATAGAAAGTGTTTGGCATCAGGACAAATCTTATATGAGGTAAATGTAATGGTAATATGGCTTCGTATTACCATTTTGTTCATTGATCACGTATTTTAAGTCTTTCTTTTAAGACATTAAGATATTAAAAAGTTATTCTTATATTTAAGTTAGTACTGTATTCACAATATAATGGGGAAAGTATTACATTAGGGATTAGGACACCAGCTGCTTTACCAAGGTGGCTCTATTAGCACTCCAGGTATCATTTGCCTCTAAAAGGAGGGAATTGGACAGAACTAAAGCTTGTAGCCTAAATGGTACCCAGGAAAAATAACCCCACATTGATGCTCTTCACACGGAGGTGGGGAACCTTTTTCCTGCCCAGGGCCATTTGGATATTTATAACATCATTTGAGGGCAATACAAAATTATCAGCTTAAAAACTGGCCTGCTATATTTGGTCAAACATTTAATTAACTCATCCCTAATGCCTTGGCAGAGCCAGACCAAATGATTTCGGGGCCTTAGATGACCCACGGGCCAGACGTTTCCCATCCCTGCTCTAACAGATCAAGCAGTAAACCATGGGGTGACTTTATAAACAGTCTTGTCACTGACAATTGTATAAGAGCATAAATGCATCTAGCCTTTCATAGGACTATTTTTGTGGCTGAATTCTTGAGGAAATAGTGGGGTGCTGCTAATAGCCATGTTTGGTCAACCCTCACATTCCATTCTCCAGAACAGGCTTTCTAAACCTAGTGTTCGAGGGTATAGGGATGGGTACCTGAATGATGTGTGGCATTCTACTGATAATGCATTTGGGGGGAAAGTTTCACAGCTTTTTTCAGATTCTTACAGGGATTGATGAGCAAAGACCTATTCTAGAGCAAGATTTTCATTGCGAATACAAGAGTAGGTTTGCTGGCCTAGAGTATGTGTATATATAACTTCAGTGGTTAGTCCAATTTACACTCCAACCAGTAGTACATGAAGGTTCCCATGTTTGATTAACAGCTTCAAAAAATTTATTGGTAATTACTTTTGAGAGACTAAAACTAGCCTTTTAATTGATAAATATTTTATGCTATATGAAATTTTAGAGCTTTCAGTGATACTTTCAGGGTTTAACTTTTTTTGTTTTCTTTGTGAAAAATCTTTAAATTTAGAAAACATTTAATTTTAGAATGACTTTTTGCTTAGAATCCTATGAAGATAAGGATTTTGTACCCTTTATTTTTCAGGGGTTGGAGTACTGTGAAGAAAGATATACACTGGACCTCACATGTGGCATGTTTCCTTTGAGGGGACAGACTAGTAATACCAAACTGTTGGGATGCCAGAGTATAGAGAAATTTCGATCTCATGGTGACAGGGAGGAAGGCATGAGTGAAGGTTAGTTAAAAATTCTCTTATATGGCATGTGAATGCTTGACTTAAGGTTTATATATTTTTTTAATCGATTTTAGAGAGAAAGTAACATCGATTTGTTGTTCAACTTATGCATTTACTAGTAGATCAGTCCTTCTCAAACAAAGTTCCTTTAAAGAATTCAGCTCTAAGACCTAAAGGCATCCACTTTAGGTATTGATATTCTCTGGTTCTAGCTATGCACCATTCTTGGGAGATATTCATTCAGATCATTTTCTATTTTCTACCTCCAATACCTCAAAATTGCCAAGGTGACAACTGAAAATAAGCCAGAATATAACTTTTCTGATGAGTTTTTAATAAGGTGTTCTTGAAATATAAAAACAGTTAAGATAAAGGTGAGTAAATCTCTGCTTATAAAATGCATGATAGAAGTGTGTTTTGGCAAATTAAATCAAATATGGATTTATGAGAAAGATCTTGTTATAGTTTTATTTGGGGGATTTTACTTTGAGATTATTCTAGTTTTTTAAAATTATCTTTCCTTTTAGCTCTGTCTCCTGACACTAGCGTTTCAATCTTCACCTGGCAAGTGAATATATATGGACAAGGAAAGCCTTCTATATATTTGGGGATTTTTGACATAAATCGTTGGTATCATGCACAAATGCCAGATTCATTAAGGTATGCATCTCTCTCTTTCTTTTGGTATTTGTATCTGTAGCAGTTCAGTGAATAATTTTGTAAAATTTCCTTTTAGATCGGGAGAAACTCTACATAATTGCTCTTATTTTGCATTGTGGTCGCTGGATTCTGTTGTAAATATGACTTCTCCACATTATATCTTGGATATATTAGTCCACGAGAGAAGTTTAAGTCGAGGACTTGCTCCTTCATACTCGCCTCCTGAGCAGTTTTTTAACCCAAGTTCCTATAACTTTGGTATGTATTTCCCTAACATTACCTTTTGAGAAAAATAACATGCAAGAGTATGTGTGTGTGTGTATTTATGTTTAACATATGTGCATAGTATTATCTATTCATATCTCATTGTCAGCTAATATATGGATAGCCTAGAAAATATACATGTACATGAGAAATTTAATACTTACATAGTCTATAAAGAAATTATCACAGTTTTGAATTTGCTAGAAAAGATTAAATATTTCACACTTACTGCATTTGTGATAAAGTTGGGTATCATTTTTTATAAAGTTTGGAAATACTTGGAAAAATATTTTAAAATATATTGTATATAATAATTTGATACCTTGGCTAGCAGTCTGTTAAGAGAAATTCTGTTGTTATCAATGCCATTTCAAATATAATACTTAAGTGGATTTTTAAAATCTTTTTTTTAGATGCCACTTGTTTGTTAAACTCAGGAGTTGTTCATATAACTTGTACTGGCTTTCAGAAGGAGGTAGGTAACAGCTGGCAATGTGGACAGTGTTTCTTATTGAACTCAAGTCAGATCATGGATTTAAACTTGATGGTAGCTTCTAGGTTAATGAGACGTATCGGAATGTTTTTAGCAGCTTTCTGTGGATGTTAGCTACTTGACCCCAAGGAAAAGATCAAAGTAGGTCATTGTCTTACCTGTCCCTTTTTATCCTTTCTCTGAATTCTCCTTTCTCCAGAAAGCTTTTGAATAAATAAAGTAATGAAAAGAGGTACCTAGCACAGTGGTACAGTGCCTGGCACAGAGCGGATGATGACTGTCTGCTGAAAAATACTTTTCTAGGAAAACATCAAGTGACAAACCTTTTAACTCATAATCACATAGATGTAGATGAATGCCATATTTATACTTCATATCAGGTCTTTTGTATATTAGACCCAGAGGAATTAACTGCAGGGTGTTGTGTGTGTGTGTGTGTGTGTTCATAAAGAGCTGTCATCGAGTCTATCAGCTTTAGAGAAGGTAATGGGTACCTTTCATAAAAACATGTAAGCTACAATATTTATAATTACGAAGCATTGATTTAGCTCAAGAACCTATAAACTCTTTTCCTTGAAAGAAGTACAAAAATGTAGTCTTCCACAATTTCCATTTCAGTGTTTTTAGTTTTATTCAAAATGTTAAGTCTACGAGTGGGGTAATGAGTTTATTATGTATTCTTAAATTTGGTTATTTGATTAATTGATATCTTATTGATCAATCTGTTTCAGACTTTGACCTTTTTAAAGAAATCAGGACCATTTATCAATGAAGTTATTTCTGATAGTTATAATCGATGTCTTATGGCTGGCCTTCTCTCACCAAGACTTACTGATATGCAGCCTTCCAGTTTAAGTCAGGTGAGATGATTTTTTCTTAATCCTCGCCCAAGGATATGTTTTTATTGATTTTTGAGAGGAGAGAGAAACATCGATCATTGCCTCCTATATGTTCCCTACTGGGGATCAAGCCTGCAACCTGGGCATGTGCCCTCACCAGGAATTGAATCATGACCTGGTTCATAGGTTGACACTTAACCACTGAGCTGCACTGGCCGGGCTATAAATTGAATCTTAATAACATGGCATTTTGTGACTGGCTTCTTTCACTTAGCACAGTGTTTTCAAGGTTCATTATCTTGTAGCATGTATCAGTACTTCATTCCATTTTATGGCTGGCTAGTATTTCACTGTACCAAGTATACCTCATTTTGAAATTCATTCTTCAGGTGATGGACAGTCTTTGGCTATCAGGAATAATGCTGCTTCATATGGAGTTCTTGTGTAGTCATGTGTTTTCATTTCTCTTGCGTGTGTACCTAGGCGTGGAATTGCTGGATCATATGACAATTTTGATTGTGAGGAATTACCAAATTGTTTTCCAAAGTGGGCTTTATCATTTTATATTCCCACCAGCAGTGTGTGAGGATTCCAATTTTTCCACATCACCAATGCTCATTATTGTCTGTCTTTTTTTATATAGCCATCCTAGTGAGTCATAATGATTTTTAAGCCTTTAGAATTTTGTATTCTGAACTAGAACTTCTACCTCTGATTCTGTGATCACATATCCTTTCTTATTTAATTTCCTACTTTTTTGTATGCATGGTGTAGGAAGAACAATTAAAAGCTGTATTGTCAGCAGCAATCCACACAAGTTCCCTGGGACTTTTGACTGGATATATCAGGAGGTGGATACTGGATGGTAAGATTGTTATTTTTAATGGAAAGTTACTTTTGTATTTTTAAAATTATCAACTCACTGTTTGTGGGGGTGGTTAGTTAAACTTCATTTGGAGCTATTTGTAGATCCGCATATAGTTACATGATTATAAGACATAATATAGAGAGA